GGGTTTGAGCTCATTAGCACCTGCTTGGACGTGGAACATTCCCCTAAAATTTCAGCTTTCTAGCATCTCGGAACCCCGGGTTATGAATTTACGCGGGAAAAACTTTTGGGGGTCCGTACGCGAGTACCACGCTTACCCGGGGGCTGGATTTGAGCCTATTAGCATCTGCTTGGGCGGGGAACATTCCCCTAAAATTTCAGCTTTCTAGCGCCTTAGAACCCCGAGTTATGAATTTACGCGGGAAAAATTTGGGGGGTCCGTACGCGGGTACCACGCTTACCAGGGGGTTGGATTTGAGCTCATTAGCACCTGCTTGGGTGAGGAACATTCCCCTAAAATCTCAGCTCTCTAGCTTTTCTGGTTCGCTAGTTAGCAGCTTACCCTTAAAAAACTTTGGCGGAGTCTTACGTGGGTACCACGCGGGAAAGACCGCCCATTTTGGGGATAGGAGCCCGTACGTGCATGTAGATTAAGTCCCCAAAGTTTTTCAGCCCTGTAGCTTTTGCCGGTCTCGAGATGAAAAATCGGTACAGAGGCCCAGCGCACACACAGACACACGCACAAGTCCCCAAAGTTTCAGCTCCGTAGCTTTTGCCGGTCTCGAGATGAAAAACCGATACAGAGGCCCAGCGCACACACAGACACATCGCAGCTTTTATAGGTCCGGAGATGAAAGTGCGTGACAGACGCACACACAGGCACACAGACACACGAACACACAGACAACCTCTCGTCAATATGCGTTTTTCGCATTGCATTGCTGCAAAAAACGCATAAAAATAGGTACACTTACGTCTTGTGTGCAGAAATACCGAAATTGTGTAGACAAAATTTTCAACATTCTCCCTTTACGATAATTAGACGTGCTAGAAAACCAGATTTTCTTTCGCAAACAAGCATAAAAATTAGCATATGCTTTGCGGAATAAGAAGTGAGCCAATTTAACGGTTCTGTTGTGGACATTATATTGTGAGTGGAGTTGCGAGGATTGCTGAAAGAGCCCTTGCAACAATAAGATATCACAAGCTGGAAAATGTCGCTATACTCTAAAATGTTAATAAATAGAAAGCCGCTCAACTAAAAAATCGTTAGCGACGCGCACCAGGCGGGCCCGTGCGATCATGGGGTTTTGCAATATTTCGTGCTGTAATGAGATCGCTCGGAAACCCAGTACCTTGAAGTGTATGACGTACTGGCCCTCGAAGTCCGGGAGGTTAATTGTCTACGCGGTATCTGGACAGGGGGCATTTCGTCAAAATTTCAGCTTTCC